TTACAATATATATAATCGTCTGATGTATATAATTCTACAATCCTAATAAAACCACAATATGTAAGAAATTATTAGGATAGCAAAGATTGAGAAGCTCATACTATTGGAATATCTAATTGTGGGATTATACCATGAATAATAGGTGCAGCAAAAGAACTCTCATTTGATATAGGTGGTGGTGAAGATGATGGAAAAAAGTCTGGAAGGATTTGGTGTAATACATTTGTAAGTTGATTACCTAGATATTTATGTATGTGCGAATTGAAGTTATTTTTGATTATTAATAATGTGAATTGAGTAAAAAAAATTTATTAATATACCATTTTCGCTTAAAGGGGAGATTGATTCTTGTATTACTGGGCAATCATCAGGTAAATATATTCAAAGTGGAATATGTCTTGGAACTTGGCCATCATTAATTACTAAACGATAATTCATGCTCCAAAATTTATCATAATCCTCTTTTTACATTAATAAAAGGTGATGATGATTGTGTCATAGTAGTTAAAGATAATAAAAAAATACAATATAGAATATTATTTTGTATTTTATAAAAATAAATAAAAAGGATACTAGACCATAATCCATCCCAAAGTTGGGTTTGATCGTTTTTTGATAAGTTCATTACTTTTTTTGTTGTGCCATTTCTAAGAAAATCTGCCTAGCAACAATAACATTATCATTATTTAATATTATTTTCTAATTATCAATTAATAATTAATTAATTAATTAAATTTAAAATACTCTACTTCTTTAATCATAGACATGAAAAAATCTTGAGTAGCATCAATAGCCTGAGCTCTTATTAGTTTATCATCAGGAAAGTCTTTAAAATGAACAGTTACAGACCAAGGTAATGGTGGAGGACTATTCGAATCTGGTCTATATCCTGTATGTAAATCGAATAGTAGTCCGATTGGATAATGCCTTTTTATTAATTATCATCATTATATTGTTTTATGGTAGAAGTAGAGAGTGACAATATATATATATATATTTACCATTTCAAAGGTGTTCCATCAACATCATACCATATTTCTGCATCGTCAACAATAAAATTCATCGCCATATCACAAAAGTATTTTCTTATTGCACTTGTTAATAATGGGAAGTATGAACAACGAGGTGCTTCTATCTATCACAATTAAACGATGAGAGTGAGTGATGAGAATGCTAATCCTGAAAGTTTGAAAAACTTACAAAATAAGGTTCAATGGTTTTTACACCTAATGCTTCAGCCTCGTTATTATCTAGAGAAAATTTAATTGGCAAAGCACCATCCCAGATGGCTCTAGCGATTGGATTTTGAGGTGCTGTCATTTTTCTTAATCAGATAAAAGAAAGTTCCACAAATTTTTATCATAAAAAATATGTTAAATATTGATTGGGTCTGACACATTTCATCGACAATCACTTCGTCGACAATCATTTCGTCGACCTAACATTTCGTTAACAGTCCATATTATTTTAGCGTAACATATACGCATTGATTATAATTAAGAAATTTAAATAAAAAGAAAATTTGGATACTAATTAGTTTGCAAGCATATTAATGACTGAATTTCATGCATATTGAAAAGAGTCATCGTCAGAAAAATAAATATTTCCTGAGTTTTGATTCAAACGAAATGTCGATTTGTCTAATTATCATCAATTATTATAATCACCAAAATAGTCAGTGACAATATCACCACATGTAAACTAACTGTCGACGAAATGAACTGTCGACGAAATGATTGTCGATGAAGTAAGCACGACCGAGCTTGTCTTGATTTTGCGAGAGGTTAGTATTCTTGATTTTTTAATACTTTAGTTGGAATCTTTGTAAATAATAACAATAATAATTTATTCCATTTTTTTCTTATTTCTTATATACAATCAAGTGAAAACAGTCTATATATATATAAATAGAAAACTGGTTGAACCTTACATCAAGGTTAAATGAAATAGAAGCAAGCCGTCAAAGCCTTAAGAAAATGCGTTTGAATTGAATTCAGAAATGGTATATATATATATTATATGTCTCCCATCGGCTCAACATGTGCAATTGTTATCCGGGCATATGTATTTTTTAGTCTTGCATCAATTTTTTCCCCTACTTGTATTGCCCTCGTAAGTATATCTTTTATTGGTACGCGCCAATATTAATAAATGCAAAGGCAAACAACTGAATAACTCGGTCACAGATGAATTTATAAAAGCTTTTGAGCTTTGTAAAAGAGTCGTCTTTATTTATTTATTTACAGTTAAATGGTGCCAATAAGTGTGTTTACAGATGCGCGTACCAGAAAGAGAAAACCAAAGTAAATTCGTAAACAATTAGTTGACAAGCACCAAATTGTTTGTAATTAACTGACCAAAGGTTAAGTTGTAATTGGCCATATTAATACGTGTTAAATAGTCATCTCTTTTTATCACATTTCGTCAATTCCAAAATAATTCTACTCGAATTGTTCATTCGCTTTATTCGTTTCTACTCGATTCGTTTTTGAATTATGCGTTTTATCTATTTCATTCGAATTGTTCGTTTATTCGAATAATAATAGACATTCAATGTAATTCGAATATTTCAAATTCATAATGAATAATTTGAATAACCTTATTCGAATAAAAACCCTACTCAAGTAGTGTAGTTGTATATAGTGATTTTAATTTAGTTTGAACGTTATTGGCTGTGTACCAGATTTGGTGACTTCGTAATAAATAACTCGGATCGCACACAATATCTATGGTTATGGTAATTAGTTAATAATATTATTATTTTAAAAATAAAAAAGGCCGAGTCATTTTTAAAATTCATATATAACAGGTAGCCTAATCATAAGGAGCACCTTGTTTTTATCTCATCCTTCCCAAAAAATTCCACTTGGTAAAAGTTGAACCATCTTGACTCTGTTCGTTCCGAGTATGATCATGTAATGAATACTTTCTATATAACGTTTTATCTCCCGTACTATACACTGCTTTATTGACAAATATAGATTAAGGTCGTTCACTCCTTCAAAGTAATACATGCAAATTTTCATGCGGTAAATCAAGACAACGTTGAAATAGATTGAATCCAGAGACAGATTTGCTTTTTTTTTACCATCTTGTTAAATTTGTAATCCTTCAGCATTAACTCTTATATTCTTCTAGCGCTGCTTTAGAGACCTTTAACTGAAAGTGGTCAAAATCAATGATATGCAATTTTTCTAATGACTCATCGCAACATATATTTTGTCCCTCGGTAAATATGTTTTCGTCGGCATTCAACGTTACATGCGGTAGGATTAACCCTTGTATCTTGTAAATAATGGTCAAGGCAAAGGCGCTTTGGAGGGAGAACTGTTTCCTTGATGCTCTCTTACCATCGATTTCGAAATAGAATGTTTCTTTCTGAACAATGATTTTGCTGATACTGATCAAGTGGGAAAGATCGCTTCGATGTTTTCTTCGTTACAAATTTTTGTGACTATTCTAATAGTTCCATTACATATAATGTCACCGAATAATTTACAGTATACCCACCTTGAGCATTTTTTTGCGAACCTTGATTAAAAATCATTAATTATTATTATTATTAATTTACATACATATTCTAGATCGTTCTCGTAAACATATTGACCTAAAAAATAAACCAATGTGACTTTACCAAAGCCTACAACTTTATAATTGTCAAAAATTCACTTCTATGAATGTAGTTGGGCTTGATTTATACAGAGCGGCTCCACTTATCACATTTTTGGTGGAAGAGACAGTCATGTAGATAAAAAAATGGAAGACATGATTTTTTTAAAATTCTTCATTTTATATTTTGTTTCATTGCTTGAATCAGAAGTCACTTATTGAATTCTATTTTAATAAAAAAAATTTTTTTATTTTATAATTAAAATGTTGAAACATTTAACATTGGCTTGATTATTTAAACAATCAAGGCATGATGTATAATAAATACCAAAACTAATCAAATTTATGGCCAGCTTAAGTTTTTTTTTTACTGACCCGACATATTTTTTTAATTTATTATCAATACAAGTAGAACTTCTATCTTCTTAAAAAATTTTGGTTTAACGTTAACGTTAACATCAACATTAACATCAACATTAACATCAATGTCAAAAATAAATATCAACATTAACGTTAACTACTCTATATACAGGACCCCGCAAATTTCATAGATATGTCAATAACAAAAATTACTGTTTGTTATATATACGATTTGACCCAGACCAAAATTAAAACTTGACCCTAAGGTTTGCAACAACATTAAAAAAAAAAAGAACATAATTTGTCCCATACATAATATATAGTAACATTAAAATTTTTGAAACTGTACAATGTAACGAAATTAAATTTTACCAATCAATTGATTTAACTGATCAATTAATTATAATAATTCACTATATAAAGTATTGGTTTTTGAATGAGTACGTAAAAAAAATTGTTACACGAAATTTTGGTTCCCTAATATATACAATTTGTTGACTAATAAGTTTGACCCTTTAAACCTAACTAACCTTTTTTGAAGTATAACAATTTGACCCACAGATTGACCCTAACACTAATTTAATTGACCCTATTAATGACAACCTACCATAATAGTCGTGTGACATGTCCTAAAAATCAAGGGGCAAGTTTATTTTCCGAAAAATTTCCGGTGATCTACACAATTTTTTATTAATAAAATTTCGAATTGAATGTCTTCATACCCTCGTTTGATACCCTTGTCGTGTAGCAATTGCCACTAAATTTGATACATAACTTCTTTGTCATATGTATCTGCTTTAAAAATTTTTTTGAAGCAAGTTGTTAATAAAACCGAAAATAATCTCAGCCTTAAAGTCAAATTTTGACTTTATATTCATATATGTAGAAATCTGTTAGTGCATACAAAGGTAAATTAAATGTTATAAATATTTACAGAATCATGCTCACTTTGTATGTCTTTATACTATCATTTATTTTAAACAAATAAAGTATGGCTTATACTAATATATTAAATTTTAATTATGACCAAGCATTTTATAGGAAACTTTATTATGGTGTGAAAAATGATTGATTTTTTATGAGCAATAATAATATTGGTGTAAGGAGTTAGTTAGAGTTGATGGAATTAATCCAGATACAAGAATTACAGGTAGAGAGCATTGTTGATATTAGATTAATATAATTTATTAAAACTTGTAAATATGAGTTTATTTAATAGATTTGATGATAATAACAATTGAAATGTCAAAGACTAACTAATCTCAATTCATGAATCCCTGGAAGAAAGTATTGGATCAATACT